AAGGCAAAAAAATCTTAAGAAATAAATACATAAATATATGAAAGATAATAATTAATTAAATTATAAATATTTAAAATTAAAATAAATAATCTTACAATAAACACAACAAAAATAAAACACTTAAAAAAGTTGTCGGGTGATCATTAAGCAACATCTGCAAACCGTGAACATGCATATGTGTTGCTAAATTATTAAAATAGTCATATATTTTTGTATTAATAGATAATATTAATAAAAATCTCAAGAGGAATCGAAGAAAATATTTTAGGACCAAAAAAAAGCTGTGATGAGCCATAGGAATGTTCACTGGAGAATGAAACGCTGGCTGTGATCTGCTTCTCAGTGAAGGACACACACAATGCAATCTGATCCTTATGCAGCCTCACTTTCAGAAGAGTCTTCATGTAGTTCACTAAGTTTTGGATCAGAGTGAGTGAGTGTGTGTGTGTGTGTGTGACGTCCATACCTTCCCAGTGCACTGCAGGTGTTGCCCCGGGACAGAGAGAGACGTCACAAACATAGTGATGCAGCGCAGCATAAAGACCGTCCCCATGAGATTACACAACCGCCTCAACAGGATCGACCTGACAGAAACACAGGGACAAAAGCCTCTTTCATGACCTGACCTTTGACCTATGAGCTTCAGGTGAAGAGATGCTCCTCTGACATCATTCAAGACTATATTTATATTTATATTCAATACTATATATATATGTATATATATATATATATATAATATTATTCTACAGGAGAAAAATGTTTGTCTTCATAATCTTTCATTGAAATGTAATAACTTGCTTCACCTCTGAAATGACTTTCTACTGCGCTACTGTTGGAAATGTTTTATTTAGACAAGAAAAAACACACACCAAGTGATATTTATGCAGAAGAAGACAAATAATAATTTTAAGACTCCTGAAAATGGTGTATATTCAATACTATATATATATGTATATATATATATATATAATATTATTCTACAGGACAAAAATGTTTGTCTTCATAATCTTTCATTGAAATGTAATAACTTGCTTCACCTCTGAAATGACTTTCTACTGCACTACTGTTGGAAATGTTTTATTTAGACAAGAAAAAACACACACCAAGTGATATTTATGCAGAAGAAGACAAATAATAATTTTAAGACTCCTGAAAATGGTGTATAAGTCAAAGACGAGATGATTGTGGAGTTTGCATCAAATTAAATTTACAAAAGTGAATTTGCATACACAGAAAGCATATTAAATGCAAGTGAAGCGTCCACTTTAATGTTTCAAATAAAATAAAATGTCAAAATATGGGTGAAATAATCATTCAGCGTAACAGATGTATTTATGTAAAAATGAAACAACACTTATTCTGACCTGTACTTATTAATATATTTAAAAGAAAAATTGATCATACTAAATTGTATTATATAACTGATTAAAAATGTCTTGCTGACAAATGAGTCAAACCTGATGGTTTGAAGGACAGTGGCAAAGATTTAAAATGACAATTAATTAGTTTAGGGGGCCGTTTTTTAATGTCATCTAATGATTCTTGTTCTAAAGATGCCAGACAAGATTTTTTAGTTATATGAACTATTGTTACACTGAATTATATATTTTTTTGTAAATCATGGTAAAAATGCGTGATAGCCATTATTTTTTGCCCAGAAAAAAATTATACAGGACACATTGTAATGTACAGAAAAAAAAATTAAAGCTGTATTAAAATGTTTGTTCATTGTCTTGATGTCTCTATGCAAGATTTTAGTATTTTATGCAAAAAAATTACATGCAACAGCTTTATAATTAAATGCATAAACTATATTATACATATGTGCATGTGTGTGTTTGTTACCTGTGTTTGTGAAGCAGCAGAACTAGCAGCCAAACAGAACAGAGGATCACGCCACAGGCCTCAGCCATCGCAAAAGCCCAGGGGATTCTGGGTACACTGGAGGGAGAAGAGAACCAGGCGAAAGGTTAAAAAAAGAGCAAAACATAATCCTCCTCCAAACAGATGGTGATAATGATGTTATTTTGTGTTTTCGTGCTCATCTTCAGCTGTGAACTCTAACGATGTCCTGTGGTGCGTGATGGAGAAAGTCATCATCAACAGCAAACCTCAAAGCTTACAGATGTCTAAAGGGTGCAACTCATCATCAGAGCGGTTTAGTTTCATTTATGCTGCCAGAAACCTCAAAGAAATTATGTCTAATGAGTTTTAGTCTTTTAGTCTGGGGTGTTAGGGCACAACTCAAATCTGGCATCTTTATATATCTATTGATGATTTTCATCTCTACATTGATGTATTTTCTCTGAAATGGCTTAAAAATGTGATTTTAATGCAATTAGAGCAAGCATTCCCAAACATTTTTGTCAGCCAAACCTAAAATATTCACTTGTAGTCGCACCTGAAATTTTAAGATAATTTTTAAAAACTTTAAAAAGATATAAAATTTTTAAAAATCTAAAAAGATATTTAAAAGTTAATCATCTAACGGTACATTCACATATATGCAGTTCTCTAATGACAGTTAATGCTCACATGACATGCAGATCAGCAAAAAAAAAAAAGTTTTATTTTAGTAGTTATTTTGATTTTATTTTTAAAATAATTATTTTTATTTTAAATGTGAATGTTTTAATTAATTATTAGCTTTTCATCCACTCACCAACCCCAGTTTGGGAAACCCTGAATTAGAAAAAACACATTTACGTTCAAGTAGAACTTAAATAATGTTTAAACCACATTAAAGCAGCTTCCAAAGCAGAATCCTAATGGAAACGTGAAACTATCAGTGAATGATCTGATCTGGGCTGCGTTTCCAGAAGCATCGTGAGCTGATCGAACAGAACAGTGGTGCAAATTGGCCTATGACTCTTTATGGAAACACAGCCTTGAATCTCATGCATGTTATACAAATAGTGCTTGTCGTGTGAAGCACAAAAGCTCAACAATATTGGAGAAAGCAGGCGATTATTATTAGGTTTTATTAAGACCAAGTGCATTTTTCTTATTTCAAGATGGAAGATTATGTTTTGCAATGCATTTAGAGATTAAAGAAAGCGAAATAATTATCTAGCCTGCCTTTTAAAACACGCTTTGCATAGAAAAATGCCTATATTGTCTTAAATTGGTTCATATGTGCAGTTCACAACCTGATGCACATTATTCACAAAAAATGGAAAATGCTAGCTTAAATCACTAACTGCTAGCTGACTTAATGCAACTTTTGGAAAATGTGATCTTGCAGTCATTTTTTTATTTTTTTTATTTTTTAAGAAAGTAATACTGTAATTCAGCAAGGATGCATTAAAATCACCAATCTTCATATTCTGTGTGGTGGTCAGTTCACAGCAGTGATAGAAATTAATCTTTTCCAATAAGTTTACATTTATTTTTACCTTTATAAAGCCATTTTTTCTAAAAGTGTGCATCATCGTTTCAGTCAGATTCTTAGATTTAATCAGTCAGTTAGAATAATAAGACATTTGGTCTGTTACCAAGCAAATGAAATCAGTAGCAACAAAATTCATCTTTGCAATGCAGAGTAAACACAGAAGCTGCATCTGAAGTGGCATTTCGATGTGTTTACACACTGTTTAATGCAGCGCAGAGGGACATGGAATGATTTACCCTGCGGTTACAAATGCAAATAATGTTTTGATATTTTAAACATAAAACGGTGAATACTGATAAATGAAAAGACACTTTAAATGTGAAATTAAAACCAGTAGGTGGCAGCAGGTCACTGTTAATAAGTGAGTCATTGCGATTGACCCGAATCATTTAAACGGTTGATTCATTCAGAAACAAAACACCGTCATGTTGCTCAGAGACGCAAAACAATGTGGCAATGTGAGTGTCTAAAACGTACGTCTCTTAATATTAACTTCTTGTTTATTGAACTGTTGTATAAAATCAAGATCACATTTGTAATCATGCTGATCTTTGGAGGAAAAAAACGGCACTTTTCGTGTGATATTAACTACATGAAATTATATAAATATATACATTTTCTGCCCCCGTATCTTGAATTTTATGATCGTTCTAAATGCATTTTCACAGACTGAATCATGCAGTGAAAGAATGCACTCTAAATGCGTAATAAAAAGTTAAATCGCACATCGTTAAAACAACAATTACGATATTAATCGTAGACGATATATATCGGACACCCCCACAGTAAAGACATTTATAATGTTACAAAAGATTTCTATTTCAAATAAACGCTGTTTTTTTTAACTTTCTGTCATCTGTGAATCCTGAAAAATAACACAGTTTCCACAAAAATATTGTGCAGCACAACTGTTTTCAACATTGATAATAATCAGAAATGTTTCTTGAGCAGCAAACCAGCATATTAGAATGATTTCTGAAGATCATGTGACACTGAAGACTGGAGTAATGATGCTGAAAATTCAGCTTTGATTAAATTACAGTTTATCAGATATTCACATAGAAAACAGCTAATTCAAACTGAAATAAGATTTCACAATATTATGGTTTTTACTGTATTTTTTGATCAGATCACCTCAGCAAAGGCTCACCTGTCCAGGAAGATGTCAGGCAGCGGCGGGTACATCCTCATGTCTGGCACTCGCTCGTGGACGATCACCATGACGAAGGACATGAAGCCGAAGACGAAGACCACGTAGACAGAGCTGATGATGGGACGGTCTCATCGAGACGCATATTCACTCTCTGCCAGCAGGTGACGCTTATGGAGCAGCAGCTGCGCTTATAAACACTACTTTAATGAGCATAATACAGTGGCAAAATGAACAGAAAATGCCATCAGTTCCCCTCAGAGACACATTCACTCAAACCCCTAACCCCCCATAGTCTCGTGATTCGTTTAGCATCTCACTCGACTTGAATCGTCACATATTTTTATAGATTTTCAGCTCAGGGTGCATCGTTACATCTCTAGTGTTTAGAGCCCTGCACGGGCCTCAAATATAGGCCCTAGCCCGGCCCTGGCCCGAGACGCTCAAGCCCTAGCCTGGCCTTGAATTCTTGGCCCAAATCCGACCCGAGCCCGTCTTTTTCCCCCCTTCTCCCAAAACAGCTTATACTACTGTTTCAGCTATTAAAATAGTTCAGTTTTGTATGTATATTTTTAAAGCTGTACTTTTACTTGTACTTAAGTACAAATTAAGCAAAATAGGCTAATCTACTTCGTTACTTTTAAATCATAGCTCGTTACTGAATACGCCCACAATTTGAATTGATATTCAAACCTTTGCGTAACTTATGGACTTTATGCGTAGGCGATGTATATTATTTATAATATGGGACCCTGGACCACATAACCAGTCATAAGGGTAAATTTTTCGAAACTGAGATTTATACATCATCTGAAAGCTGAATAAATAATCTTTCCATGTCACATATTTTTATAGATCTTCAGCTCAGGGTGCATCATTACATCTCTAGTGTTTAAAGCCCTGCACGGGCCTCAAATATAGGCCCTAGCCCGGCCCTGGACCGAGATGCTCAGGCCCTTGTCCGACAGCTCTTCAGAATTCTTGGCCCGAGTCCGACCCGAGCCTGTCTTTTTTTTCCCTTCTCCCAAAACAGCTTACTACTGTTTCAGCTATTAAAATAGTTCAGTTTTGTATGTAATGGTAAAGTGATTATATTTAGTTTAGTTTTTTTATTAAGTTAATTTAGAAAAACTAAAGCGCGCTTTGCAGGACATGAGGCGCCGGCGCGATCACTTGCATTGGAAACAACTTAAAATACGCAGTGGTGGAGGTAACGAATTGCAACTACTCACATTACTGTAATTAAGTAGTTTTTTCGGGTACTTGTACTTTTTTGAGTATATTTTTAAAGCTGTACTTTTCCAAGCTACTTAAGACTGGTTTTGTGGTCCAGGGTCACATATAATCAATACAACAATATTTCATACAGTAGCCTATGTGTACGCTGCACGTATATGGGCACAATAAAAGGAGAGAAGCTAAATGAGCCCGAACCCGATCTGTAAAAAAAAGAAATGGCCCGAGCCCGTCCCGAATGGGCCCCGCTTGCAGACCTCTACTAGTGTTAAGCTCAAGTCCTGCTCTCCAATGTAAATGCTGTTAAAAACCGCGATTACACAAACCTGTGCTGCTCTGAGGCGAGTGTCCGTCGTAGGACAGACCGAGCTCCTCTAACACGTCGGCGTTCTGCTTCTGCAGCTTCCTGAGAGAAACCATCAGCCGTTTAATGTCTCCCAGGACCTTGAGCTCCAGCGGAGGAGAGCGCAGGTCGTACTCGCTCAGCGTCAGCAGGCTGGTTCCGTCCAGACGGTGTTTGTTACACAGCAGGTCCACGTAATCGCAGAAGCCCTCTTCACGCAGCCAGCAGCCCACGTGCTTCGGGGTCCAGTGCCGGACGCTACCGGCCATCTCTTGCTCGCGCATCCTCTCACAGGAACTGAAGACAGAAAACAGAAACATGACGACTATGATATCTAAAGGCACTAGGGACAACTTTTGTGTGAAAGATGTAAATAATAATTAACTATTCTTCATCCTTGCACATCACATCCGGATGTAAACTAGCACATCTGCTGATACTCCAGTAAAACAGGCCACATTCACAACATAGGATCTCAAGATTGTGCACTACTAGGGATTTGAAGCACTGAATCCCAGCTGTGCTGCTTGGATTGAGCTTCGATTATCTGACTCGTTCATTAAGGATCAGTCTGAGTAAGCAGTATCTGTTAGGCTTCCTTCAATTTTCAAGTAATCAAACTGGCTGAACAAGTAATTTCAACTTAAATTATATTAAATTGACTTAAAAAGTTGAGTTGAATCTCATATTACTAAAAAAAAGATGAAATTGGTTAATTATTTTAATAAATTTCTTTATTAAAGAAATAATAAATAAAATCAAATGTGAATTATGTGATCACAATTTTTTTTACAGTGTTAAGGGTATTTCTTTTTATGCCAATTTCTATTTTTTTTTCTCTTCAATCAGGTAGAGATTGTGAGTAAAAATATTTGTACTCATTTGCCCAGTAAACCAGGGATGGCTGGAAAAGTTATGCAAATTCATTGCTTAAAAAGAATCAAGAAACTTAATGGTCAGAAACTACGAGTGTCGGCCTTCAAATATTGTTGTGGACAACAAGAGTCAAAAAAGCGAAGACGAAGACCACGTAGACAGAGCTGATGATGGTCTTCCAGTACTCGGGGTCCAGTCTCCGCGGCTGCTGCTTGTATTTGCCGTTGTTGTACTGATGATACGGATCGCTGCTCAATGTGTCCAACACGGCATCGCAATCCTGCGCAGACTCACTGTTACACAGCCAGTCCACTCCACCTGAACAACGCCAAACACACACACTACAGTTCAATCAGACTTTACTCTGCATAGTAACCAGATAACAAGAGATGTAAATGACCTTCAATGACGTAAAGCTGAACGGAGCACTCTTGCAATCGTCACTGGTGTAACTTTATCTCGTTTTTACAGCTAGAGTTTTCTTCAATCCCATCGGAATTAATTTATTTACTACTTATTTTACTCAAATTGAGAATGAGCTTTGTAAATACCATAAAAGTAGTTCTTATATGGCTTCAGAAGTCTTATATAGTGCATAAATAATATGGACTGCTTTTCATAATACCTTTATAGTATTTTTTTTGTGTCTTTTGACATTTTTAGCACCAATGGTTCAATTATTGTGCTGTACTTTAGCTGTTTGTATAGTAAAGCACTTGAAAGTCCACTTAAAGTCATCCTATGTTATGTAAATGCTGTCTAAAAACAAATGGGCAGTTTTACAACCAGTCCACTCCACCTGAACAACATGAAATACACAAACTATATCTGTATCTGACTTTGCTTTGCATATTTTAAACAAATAAGCACATAAATAGTAAACAAGATACTTATATGTCAGAAATAAAGTAAACTGCTGCACTACTGAAATCGTCACTGTGGTGTCATTTTATCAACCAAATTTATCTGGTTTTACAGCTAAAATTGCTGATATTTTCTTCAATCCTATCAGTTTATTTTAGGGATGTAATGATTCACTCAACTCACAATGCGACATGAGTCATGATACGGATTTCACAATACCATTTTCTCACATGTAACAAAATAAGATTTAAGACAAATTACACATAAAAAGGTGTCCTTTTATTATTTCCCAGACAAAATGCTGCACATTTCTTTGTGAAATTGAAATACGTCAAATAACAAAATTGAAATTTTTAAATGGCAAATCAAATAACTAAATGAGGCAAATAAAAGAAATCTCTTCATAAACAAACTAAGGCTTTGCCTGTGCTCTTTCCATTTAATGCAACCACTGCATTTGAATCACGATCCTAACAAAGTTGCTGCAAACATGCAGCATGAGCAGTTTTTGATTTAAATTAGTAGCATAATTTCGAAATTTGAAGGAAAAACAGAATGTCTGACTTTAGTTTTGTGAAACCATACTACATAAAACATCTGCACGAAACAAAAACAGCAGACGGTCTCATTGAGACGCATATTCACTCTCTGCCAGCAGGTGGCGCTTATGGAGCAGCAGCTGCGCTTATAAACACTACTTTAATGAGCATAATACAGTGGCAAAATGAACAGAAAATACCTACAGTGTTAAGGGTATTTCTTTTTATGCCAATTTCTATTTTTTTTTCTCTTCAATCAGGTAGAGATTGTGAGTAAAAATATTTGTACTCATTTGCCCAGTAAACCAGGGATGGCTGGAAAAGTTATGCAAATTCATTGCTTAAAAAGAATCAAGAAACTTAATGGTCAGAAACTACGAGTGTCGGCCTTCAAATATTGTTGTGGACAACAAGAGTCAAAAAAGTGAAGAACCGCTGGCATAGAAAGAGTTCAAAACAGTAGGTTTTGAATACATCTTTGTTCTGCTCTGAATCTCGGTTCATTAGCTCTCAGAAAACACTTAACATGTCTGTCTTTTGCCTCTGAACGTCTGATAACTTTCCTCCGAAGCGACAGATCCGTAATGCTTAGAAACACAACCACATTTACACAAACCTTCAGAAAGCACCCGATCATGTAACACTTCATTTTAACACACCACAGGAACAGAAGCAGGTCTTTTCTTGCTGACGTCTCACTCACAGATGAAACACAGACACGTTTCCAAAAAGAAGCTAAAATACAGCATTTAACATGCAACACAGTGACAAGATGATATGAGATGCGTGTGAAATCACGTCTGAACATGTGCATGTCTGTATCAGACTTTGCATATTTTAAACAAATAATTAAGTAAATAGTAAACATCATATTTAAATGTCAGAAAATGACCTTCACTGAATTGTAGTCACTGGCTGCACTATTGCAGTTGTCACTGGTGTTATTTTATCAACCAAATTCATCTAGTTTCACATTCTAGAACAGGTTAAGTGGCTGATAATAACTTATAAGCATTATTTTTTTTCAATCCCATCAGAATAAATACTATTTATTTTACTCAAAATTTGAAAGGAATTTAGAAAAGTACCATAAAAGTAGATAATATAAATTGTGTTCATGTATGGCTCCAGGAAAATAGTGCATAAAAAAAGTTAACTGTGACTTTTTATCTCACAATTTTGACTTTTTTTCTCATTATTTTGACTTTTTTTCCCCTCATAATTCTGAGTTTATATCTAACAATTCTGCCTTTTTTCCCTCGCATTTCTGACAAAAAAAAGTCTGACAAAAAAAAGTTTATTACTTGCATATTACTTGTGAGATATACACCCGAAATTATGAGAACAAAAGTCTGAATTGCGAGATATAAACTTGCAATAGCAAGAAAATAAGTCAGAATTGTGAGATAAAAAGTTACAATTACCTTTTTTATTTTTTATTCTGAGGGGGAAACAAAAATTGTAAAATGTAAACTCAAAATTGTGAGCAAAAAAAGCCATAATTCTGAGTTTATATCTCGCAATTCTGAATAAAAGTGTGAATTGAGATAAATTCTTTTCTCCATGGCGGAAACAGGCTGATTATAAATGATAAAAGTCTAATTATAAAGGATCCTTCCAGTTAACACTAATTAATCAAGCTAATAATTCACTCAAACCTAGTCGATTTTTAAAATATGTACTTTTGCATATCAACATAATCACAGTAGTGGCCACGCCCAACTCGTAGCCACGCCCATCGATAGCCACGCCCTCCCGCAGCAAGGCGAAATAACTCATAGTTCTTTAAGTAATTTAATATCGACTGTAAAATTACACAAGTATGAAAACAGCAACTTTTCCTGATAACAGCGAAAAGAACTTAAAATGTTCCGTCATTTTTGATCGTTAGGGTTATGGTTCTAAATGTTGTAGCTACGACTCGTCTGCATTTTAGCTCGCATTCTCCGGTGATTTATTAAAGGGCATACTCACATGATTTTAAAATGCATTTTACTTCATATTTTTTCTTAACTCTGCATTTGTAATGTAATTTTATTGACATTAGTAACTGTAATCAAATGACATAAAATTAAAATGCAATGCATTACATTACCAGGAAAAGTAAATAGAATACAGTAACGAGTTACTGTGTAACGCGTGCAACGTTACTGTTACTGTGTAACGTTACTGTTACTGTGTAACGCGTGCAACGTTACTGTTACTGTGTAACGTTACTGTTACTGTGTAACGCGTGCAACGTTACTGTTACTGTGTAACGTTACTGTTACTGTGTAACGCGTGCAACGTTACTGTTACTGTGTAACGTTACTGTTACTGTGTAACGCGTGCAACGTTACTGTTACTGTGTAACATTACTGTTACTGTGTAACGCGTGCAACGTTACTGTTACTGTGTAACGTTACTGTTACTGTGTAACGTGTGTAACGTTACTGTTACTGTGTAACGCGTTACACCCAACTCTGCTTATCAGACACAAGAAAACAACAGTAAAGTAATATGAGCCTGTTATTAAAGCACCCTTAGGTATAATTATATCTCTCAGCTCTTTACACTGCGGACTTTAATCAATACCCATACAGAGAAGCTTGTTGATAAGGAAAAGGACCAGGTACCTGCCAAACAGGAACGATTACACACTTTCAACACTCAAAACCTAGTGAGCTGCCTACCTAGAAAGCATTTGATACAAAATGTTGTTTAACCAGGTTAAATGAACTAGATTTTTCCGAGGAAAAAAATATTTGAAAACAGTTCTGTTTTTTTTATAACCGAAACTGACCCAGATTATTAAATGAGGGTCTGTGTGCGGCTTATAATCATAACACAAAATGTTAAATATGACCAAACGGCATAAATATATGCAGTGTGCCGCTTTAAATCTGCAAATGAACAGACACTAAATGACTAACATTTCTCCTTCCCACTCATAAACCTATCACAGCAATAAAAAATGAGAATAAAACAAAGAATGGACCTGAAAATGGATTCATACGCCAATTTCAATTCATCACTGTTATTAGTGTGATTTTTTTCAGATGCATGAGAGTGTGTTAGCATGCTAGCGGTTAGCCTGCTGCGCTTCACTTACGTTAATCGCTCCGAATCGCGATGCATCTCCTGAAAGTCACTCTGTCGCGGCATCTGTGGTAACTCATCGCGCCCTGACCCGGCTAGACGAGCACAGCTGAGAAAGAGCGTGTTTCAGTGTGTAAACACTGCAGGTGAGGTCACTTCCGCTGCCGCGTGCGCAGCGACATCCGCTGGTCAGCAGGTGGAATTACACCCTCGCTGCTGGGTTTCTAATGAGTTTCATGTTTGAAGTCATGGCTTCGCAACCAGTGTTGGGGAAAGTTACTTTTAAAAGTAATGCATTACAATATTGCGACAGAAGAAGAAATTTAAACACACTTATGTACGGTTGAACTGGATCATCGAAGGTCAGAAGCAAAGACAATGGTTAATAGAATGGGATTAAATACATAAAGCATATTTGTGTTGTTTAACTTTATTTATTGCAGGTTTGCGTCATATTCTGAGTTGCATTATTTTTATTCATTTTGAGGAATACTGAATCTGTTTTGTTTTTTTTGTGTGAGGGAGATGAATGAATTCATATTCATATTTATTTTGGAACTACAGTAACATCTTCTGATTTCTCTCAACATGGGGACAGGAGAGCTGTCAGTCGATAAACTGGAGAAAAAAAAAGGAACTTGCGTTACTTATTTGAAAAAGTAACTCAAATATTCTCTTGTAAATTAAAAAGTAATGCGTTACTTTACTAGTTACTTGAAAAAAGTAATCTGATTACGCAACTCGTGTTACTTGTAATGCGTTACCCCCAACACTGTTCGCAACATTATTAGTCAGCTGAACCCCTTTGACTTTGATTAATTAGTTTAATTAACTGTAATCATTTCTTTAAAGCACCATTTTCTGAAGTAAATGTGGTTGGTGTTCATGCAAACTCATTTTGGGTGTTCTGGGTGAACACTAGTGCATTGCTTGCCTAAATGTTAATTTTAGAAGACCAGCTGCAGCTGCTTCTGTCACTTCAGATAAATGTATCCGCTCAAACTGGACAGCAGCAGATATGAGATGCACATCTTACCAGAGACACGCAGTAGATGTGGAAGCTGTAGTCGTGGTCAGATCAGACACAGAGATCCACGAGTCTGTCTGTCTGATGGATGGCATCCGTGAAACTCCTCTGTTAAGGAACTGGAGAAAATACTGTTTGGAGGGAAGAGGAGCTGAAATCATGTGGATGAAGAGTGGCCCAACCTTTACCTGGGTGCTGCTATGTGAGTCACAGCGTTAGAACTAAAAACACTTTCATTACTTGAAATAAAGTGACAAATTTAACAGAAATAAAATTAAATTAAACGAAACAAAATTTTCATTTTCATTTTGGTGTACAAAAAAAAAACTACTGCTGAAATCAAAATTAATAAAAACTAGCCTATATTCCTATATAGCCTATATAGCAAAATATTAGTGTTCGTACTGGGATACTATTATATACATGTTATTGATATTTTAATAGTTTTTGTTATTTTTCATTCATTTTAATTAAAGTTTGTCATTTTGTTGTGTGGTGTTTTTTTTTTTATGTGTGAATTTTTCTTAGGTGTAAACTATTAGTTATTAAAAAAAACAAAAACGTTAACTAATAAAATGGCAAAAACACAACAAAATTACTAAAACTTTAATTAAAATGGAAAATACAAAAACTAATTCTCTCTCTATATAAACATATATACACACACACACTCTATCGGTCAAAAGTTTGGGATCAGAACGGTTTTTAATGCTTTTTTTTTCTTTCTCTACAGGAATGTTTTATGCTCATCAAGGCTGCGTTTATTTGATCAAAAATACAGGAAAAAAATTAATATTGTGAAATATTATGATGTAAAATAACGTTTTTCTATTTTAATATACATTAAACTGTAATTTATTTCTGTGATGCGCAGCTGTATTTTCAGCATCATTACTCCAGTCTTCAGTGTCACATGATCTTCAGAAATCATTCTAATATGCTGATTTATTATCAGTGTTGGAAACTGTTGTGCTGCTTAATTTTTTTTTTTTTTGGAAGCTGTGATACTTTTTTTCAGGATTCTATGATGAATAAAAAGTTAAAAAGAAGAGCATTTATTTAAAATAGAAATATTTTCTAACAATATACACTACAGTTCAAAAGTTTGGGGTCGGTACATTTTTATTTATTCTTTTTTTTGAAAGAAATTAAAACTTTTATTCAGCGAGGATGTGTTAAATTGATAAGAAGTGATAGCAAAGATTTATATTGTTAGAAAATATTTATATTTTGAATAAATGCTGTTCTTTTTCACTTTTTATTCATCAAAGAATCCTGAAAAAAGTATCAGTTTCCCAAAAAATATTTGGCAGCACAACTGTTGATAATTCTAATAATAAATCAGCATATTAGAATGATTTCTGAAGATCATGTGACACTTTACACTGGAGTAATGGCTGATGGAAATACAGCGCTGCATCGCAGAAATAAATTATATTTTAAAGGATATTAATATAGAAACCATAATTTTATATTGTAATAACATTTTGCAAGATTACTGTTTTTTTCAGTATTTTTGATCAAATAAATGCAGCCTTGATGAGCAGAAGAGACTTCTTGAAAAAACATCACAAGTCTTACTGATCCCAAACTTTTGAACAGTATATATACATAAATAAAAAAAACAGATACTAATTTACATGCAAACATACTACATACAAGTCTTATTGTAGTATCAATATTATTGTATAGTTTTTATTAATATTTTAAGTGTTTATTTTTATATTTTTATTTTAATTCTGTTTTCATTTAAATTTAAGTTTTAGTCATTTTTGTTGTGCGTCTTGTCATTTTTCTATACACAATTTTTAATAAGTTATATTAGTACATCAAGTTCAAGTAAATTTAAAATGATTTTACTTTCAGTTTTAGTTGACTATGATTTCTCCTTCATAATCATACACCACATTAATCTCTCAGCAGCATTATCTGAACCAAAGTCAGGCCAGATACTTATTTTCTAGATGAGTTTGATTTTATGGGCATCATATAAAGCTCTGCGTGCTCTGGGGCCCGTCTGACGTTTCAGCAGCTGTATATTTCTGATCTGCAGGTCTGTGGCTAATGATGGGTTCAGTGTGTGGAAGCTGGGCATCACTCGCGTTCTGAACGCCGCTCAGGGAAAGATGCACTGCCACGAGTTTTACGGCTCAACAGTCGATTATTACAGAGTCCCAGCCGATGATTCGCCATCGGTGCGAGTCGCTCGGCGTCTCTGGTTCTGGCTCATCTCATGATACACCAGCATCTTTCTCTACTGGAGGCTATTAAAGCGGTCAAACAGCACCGCTGGATCTTCCCAAACCGAGGCTTTCTCAAACAGCTGCGGGCTCTGGATGTGACTCCACACCGTACGGAACGCAACACACTGTACATAAACACCAACAACATTCCAGCATCACCAGCCTGTGTGAGACCGTCTTTAATAAAGGGGTTTTGCAGCACTGCCAGAAGAACCTTTTCAGTGAACAGTTCTTAAAAGAACCATTTTTTTAGTGTGAAGGTTAGTTTAGTCATCTAAAGAACATTTAGATTGACCTTTTGTTCAATGGAAAGGTTCCATGGATGTTAAAGGTTCTTTATGGAACCATCAATGACAATAAAGAACCTTTGTTTTTACGAGTGTACCGGAGATGTTAGCACACCTCAAGTCTCATGTTTTAGAAGTAAAATGTAATAAATTACTTAATAATTTTACAGTTAACTTTAGGTATTCAATTACTTGGTAAAAATGTAGATAATTCGGAGATTTATTGTATATAATTTTAATATCTTTACTATAAAATGTGTTTTAACTCCATTTATATAGTGAAAAATAAAAGTCCCTGCATGTTCCTTTTTTTTTGTTTTGTATTAAAAAAAATAATTTAATTAAATTTTTGGTGTATTGGGGTGATTTGTTATATTTGCTCAAGTTATTTATTTATTAATCTTTATAATCTAATAATAATATATTTTAAAATCTTTATAATAATATTTCGGATGTTTCAAATTATAATCACTAATTCACTAACAATTCACTAAAAAAAGAAAATTGTCATTCTCGCTTCATGTCTTTCCAAACCTTTTTAATTTTGTGTGTGTTTAGTTCTGTACATTACAGTGTTTTGTTACATTTGCCCACAGCTGTTTGTTTTTATTTATGTATTCATTCAATTTTTTTAACTGGCTTAAATTAAAACCTTTACAATAACATTTTTAATATTTCAAAGTTTCACTACACTCACTAATTCATTAATAATTCACCGGGAAAAATAAGAAAATTCAGAGACCTGTGTAAAAACTTTTTTTGTTTATTCTTATTTTTGTTAAGTTTTGTATATTGGGGTGTTTTATATTTGCCTGCAGCTATGCATTTATGTTTTCATTTTATGTTTTTTGTTTACTGCCATTACCAACATTTTTAGAATAATATTTTGAATATTTCAAAATTTCACTCAATTCTTCCAAAAAAGACAATTCTGTCATTTACTCAACCCTCATGTCATTTCACACTATGTGCTGTTATTTTATCTGTGGAAAACAACAAGAGAATCTTCATTTCTGTAAATCTTTATGCTACGCATTTGCATTAAATAACAGTTTTTATTGTTTGGTAATCTCCAAAAAGATCTTGTACAGAGCAGAGCTGCATGATTTCCGACGCACCAGTTTCTGAATCGGAATGCAGATGTGAAAAAGAAGATTATCAGTGAATAATGACCACATTTTTTTAAATGCCTTTTTGGAGCTTGACAGATGCACTCATTATAAACTGTGAAAGAAAACATAACAGAAAAGGTATACAGGTCAGATCTGCCTGTTTGCAGTGCATTCATGGAGTGTGTGAGTGTGTGTACATCATGTCTCCGTCAGTAAGACTATCTGCTCACTGAAGCACTAAACTGGGTAGCAGCTGTTGTGTGGGATCAGTGCGAGAGCCACGAGTCAGGAGCGCTGGATCATTATAAACACACTCTCTTCATCTTTTGGCGGGTAATTCAGGAAAGAAGCGATGGCCCGTAAATATAGCAGCAAAGAGTATCTGTCAGTCAAGGACCTGGAGAAAGTTTTGGACTCGTGTAAGTTAAACTTGCACCAAATCGATGAGGTCTGGCCAAACCTGTACATCGGCAACGTGTGAGTATACAAGCTGCTTGACTGTTGGCTTTGACAGCTAGAAGTCATA